GAGACTCAGTCCTTTGGGGGGAGGGGGGGAAATGGGCATTTATTGAAACCTTAAAATCTGTACCCCCATAATATGCCAAAATAAAAAAAATAATTAAAACTTTAAAAAAAAAAAGACAAAGGACACAAAATTAAAATAAAAGATGAATATTTATCAATCCATCAAATAGGTCCATTGATTTCAGAAAGTGCATTATTTATTTAGATATCCATGGAAGGACTGCTATTTTATTATTAATAACAAATAATGTCTGAAATTGCTGTGGGATGATTTTCTCTAAAATGTATAATCACTTTCACTTTTCCTTAACTTAGAGACTTTGCTATTTGAATAACCTAAATAAAGAATGTGTATGGTGTGCAATGGACTTAATATTTGTGTCCTTCTCAATTCTTAAGTTGAAATCCTAATCTCCAGTGGTGATGGCATTATGAGGTGGGGGTCTTTGTGAGGTTATTAGATCATGAGGATAGACGCCTCATGAATGGAATCAGTGACCTTATAAAAGGTACTTCAGAGAGCTAGTCCCATCCTCTTTCCTCCAAGTGAGGATACAAGGAGAAGTTGGCCATCTGCAACCTAGAAAAGGAACCTCACAGGAACCCTCCCATGCTGGCACCTGATCTTGGGCTTCCAGCCTCCAGAATAGTGAGACAGAACTATTTATAAGCCACCCAGTCTATAGTACTTTGTTATAGTAGCCTGAATTAACTGACTAGGACAAGTGTATGTGTGTGTGTGTGTGTGTGTGTGTATTTCATTATTTCAACAAGAATCCATAAGAATAGGACTAGGGATATACAATTAGAGTATTTCCAGAGATATGAAGATATGTCATCCGTAGGAGTCGTTTTGCTTCCTGAGGCTGGGCAACAGCAGTCCTCATTTTTTTTTCCTCATCCTAACCCTGGTTCACTGATGGTTCCTGTTCAATGTCTCCTTAAGGAATGTTCATGTCTTTCTTCTTTCCTCTTTTATCCCTCTCTTTTTAAAATAAAGTGATGTTACACACATACAGAAGAAAGAATAGTAACTTATCTTTCATAATCTCCTTAACATATTTAATGAATTTTATTAGCTTTCATTTTCATGGGAGGTTCCATCCTTTCTATTTTAAGAAGTGATGACTGATGATCTGTGACTTGCTACACTGCCAGACTCTGACACCTGTGATCTTTCAACTTGACAGAATCTCTGCTGGAAATTCACGTAGGGGGCAAATTGTAAAGTGGCTTGAAGGCAATATGCAGGGGCATGATCTATTTTGTTGTTGTTTTTGTTGTAGCAATATTCTATTGGCAATGTGGGAAGACGGATAAGACAAGGGAAAGAAGCAAAGGTTTGAAAGATTGTTTGTGTAAGATCATGGGCCATGAGAATGTGAATTAGAGAATTACAGTGGATGTGGGGAGTTAAGGAGATATTCAAAAAAAATTCAAGAGGTATCTGGATGGGATTTTATAAGTTACTGGGTGAGGACATATGGGAACAGAGATCTATGAGGAACTGGAAGTGCCTAGTTTAAGTGGCTGGCCAATTGCAGTATGACTAACTGAAAGAGAGAATCAAGAGCAGAAGGCTTGGGATTTTAAAAGAATTTGTATAGTTTCCTACATTTGTAACTTGATACAATTGTGTGATACTAGAAGTAGTTATCCAACCAATAATTGAGAATATGGATGGAAACATCAGAAGGTAAATATTTCTAAAAGCACAATGTCCATATTTGTGATTTCCTTGAGGCAGAGCTGTAATATATTTCTATCTCTTCAATGTCAAGCAAAATGCCAAACACTCAAAAAAGATTAAGCAAGCTGAAAATTAGTAAATTCCATATGCTTTATAAACACTGAATCCAGGTTTTCTACTGAATTCCTAAGAAATAAAGTAGAACTGATATAATTATTCAAATAGTGGCTAAACGTTTTCTAGAGTTTCAGCATTAAAGATTCATGTAGGTTCAAGGGTTGTGGTAGCTGTTCTCTTGGGCCTCAATAATTTCTCAGATGCTATTTTCCTATAACTCTCAAATTACTGGGGTAAGGTACCTTGCACTGGCACACTGGCACTAACAGTCAAGCTCACTAGTTTTAATCCCCTGGCTTATTTTCTACTATATATATATATATTTTTTTTTTCTTTATAAGAAACAGGTTTTTTTAATGCAGTCATAAATAGCTTTAACTGTGCCTTAATGTAGGTCTGACTTTTTTCTAGGAATTGAATTTATTTGAGAACTTAATTGCATCTTTTTTTTTCCTGAACAGAAACATGAGATAAAATTCTACCAAATACATACACTTTCAAATATGTGCATTTAAATAAAGATGTAAGTACCCCAATTCAGCAATCTTAAAAAACGAACTGTGCCAGGGAGAAAATTCTTACAGGCAATGTTTATTGAGCACCTTCTATGTGCTATATCTAGGTAGGGTGAGGGGCATAAGATACAATGTAAAGAAATATTACAATCTGCCCTCCTGTAAAAGTCAGGAGAAAATAAACAGGCAAATTTGTATTATCCTGAATAGAGCTGGAGCCCAGTTTACTAAGTGAAGTATCACAAGAATGGAAAAACAAGCACCACATGTTCTCACCATCAAATCGGTACTAACTGATCTACACTTACGTGCACACATGGTAGCAATATTCATCAGGTGTCCAGCAGGTGGAGGGAGGGAGGAGCAGGGGGTGAGTATATTCACACCTAATGGGTGCAGTATGCACCATCTGGGGTATGGACACACTTGAAGCTCTGACTTGGATGGGACAAAGGCAATGTATGTAACCTAAACATTTGTATCTCCGTAATGTGCTGAAATAAAAAAAATAATAATCATATATAGGAATGGAGGCCACTATAGGAGCAAACAGGCTGTAAGGGAGCTGGGTGGTTCTTCCTCTCCAGAATGAGTGTCTTCTTAATTGAAAACTGAAGCATCAGTTTGAATTAGACTGTTGACAAGAAAAGAGAGGGATGGTTCAAGAAGAGGGACAGCATCTCTAAATGCCTGCATGTGGCTAGAACAGAGAGTGTGCCAAGTAACTGGTGGGAGCTCAGAATTAATACTTTCTTGACTTGAGAGGAAAAGGAGTTAAAGGCCAGCCTGCTAGACAGAGGGACCATAACACAATGATGTTTGTGACTTCACTGTTATCCTTGCTTAGTTGTTAATCAAAGGGATTTATATTTAAAATAAAAAGCAATTATTCTTTGAGGAACTGAGAGACAGTGAATTATTAATAATTTACTCATTTAATCAGATTTAATAATTAAAGGCTAGAAGCTTTGTGCTAGATGCCTGGAGTATAAATATATCAACTGATAACACTTTAAAAGTACTGCACTTATAATAATGAAAGGGAATTTTCTGGGCTTTGTTATAGATGCTCAACTCATGAGCTAATGCACTATTTTTTAATACCTCAAATGTGCTTTCATATTTTTACATGATAGGTGATTTTTGCTTTATGAGTGTAATGATCAAATAACTTACCCAAACTGGGACATTTTCAAGAGTGAAAGAGGTATTAAGAATAATTATATAAAGACAAAAGAAATAAACATGAACTGTCCTCGGTAAACCAAATGTATGATTCGTGTTCACAATGTGTATCATATTTTCAATGCTTAAATGATTACAGTTATTTAAAATTTGGGATAGTGTTTTGACATGGAACATCCTTTTCAATCAAACATCTTTGAATCTTTTCATGTTCTAGAGTTTGTGAAGTACTCCAGTTTGTCTTCCTAGTTTCACCTTTACATTTTAATTTGCCAGCGTGCTGAATAAATCATTTGTAGAAATAGGAAAAAAATGAAGATGATAAATCTCTATTTTGTGGCACTCACCAGCTGTTAAATGCACACATAACTTTTTAAAGCAGAATTCTTCAAAGTTTAGGAGAAGGTATTTCATTTATTTTATTTTTCTCCGCTTCTGAAACAGAAATTGGGATCAAGTCCAACAAAAACTTGTATGGCCAATGTAAAAATGAAGCATTATTAAAATAAAAAAGGGAAGAATTTGAAAGACTTACTACAGAGGAGACCTGCCAGATTGTAGTATTTCAATGGTTCCCTGAACAATGCCACAATACTCAGCTATTATTCAAGCAGGTGGCACATTATTATTCTTACAGATTGATACCTTTGCTTATTATCCTCTTGACTGCACACAAAACACAGTAATTTGAATCTAATAATGTCTTTAAAATTTTCCATTAATAATAAGAAAGTGTTATTAAAACAAAAAAATTATCCTTGGCCTGCTCTAATTGATTTTTCCCCCCTATAATTGATGGACTCAGTTACTCTTTATTTAGGTACTCTAGGACAGCTGACTTTGATAGTAAAGGAAAGTAATTGATTTTTAGTTTCAATGTGTCAGTTTGGAAACAGTGCTTTGTAAGTTTCTTAACTCCCACAGAGAGCAGCACCACAAGACTCCAGGTAGATGCAAAATAGATTATCAATACACATTTTGGAGTTTTAGATAGTCCCGTGATAATTAAAATAAAATACTCAATGCAAAAAGATGAATCTCATGCAAGGCCATTTAATACAAATGGTAAAAGTAATGTTTCTTTGTTGAATGACTCCTAAACCCTTACTGAATGAACCAAAGAAACTATAATCATCCATCAGGCTGTCTCCATGATCTGGCTCTATACCTCATTTCCCTGTTAACTGCTTGTAGCCTGCTACATTATGCCTCCAAGCTTTTGCTTCTGCACTTCCTTATGTTCAAACATATTTCCCACTATTTTTCATTGGCCGAATTATTTTGATTCAGCAACATTTGGCTTAGGGAATTCTCCAGAAAATCCTCTTTGAGTCCCCAGATTAATTTAAATGTCCCAATTCTGTGGTTTGCTAGTATTTTTTATGTGTTTTCCTATTGCATTTGATGTGTTATATTTGATTTATCTGCTTATATGACACTTTCTCCTTCTAAACTATAAGTTTTTCAAGGACAAAGGACCAGGTCTGGCATGTGTACTACAACTGGTATACATGCCAGTAAGAACATATCTCCTAATTTGAGCATATCTCCTAATTTGAACATATCTCCTAATTTAATTAATAATTAAAATTATTAATAAATGTATGTGCACATAATATTGTTTGCAGTTGAACTTACGGATAGTTAAACCAGAGAACAAATTTTAAGCAATTGCATATTTGTGAAGTAAAAATAGCATGGCTTTAGTTTAGATAAAACTAAATTTGAATCCCAATTCTGCCCCTCATTCTGCCCAATTCATTAGCTCAGAATTACATGAGCTAATTAGCTCATGTAATTCTGAGCTAATCACTTACCTTACATGAACTTCAGTTTCCACATTTTGTACAAATGAGCCTACTATTAAGATTGTGGCAACAATTCAATGAAAAAAGTACATAAAGCAGCTGGCATAATGTATATACTCAGTAAGTTTCCTTACCTTAATTCCTTTTCCTCTAATACTTTTAAATTTTAAAGAAAGTAAGAAAATACCATAGGGCTACATTTCTAGAGCTATTTTTTTTTTGGTATGCTTAAATATGAAAATGTTATGCACTATATACTAAACTTATGTTGTACCTTTGCTTTTGTCTTTTCTTTTACTTATAATGCCCTTCTCCCAGTCCCCATCTCTACTTGGCAAATTACTATATTTCCTTTGCTGCCCAGCTTTAATCTCATCTTCTCAATGAAGTCCATCAGAATCAATTGGAGGATCATCTGGATTTCCACAATATCTCTTTCATGATGTCATTGCAATATGTTAGATATTATTAAACCAAAATTGTACTGCAAAATAGATTACCTTAGCTTTGAAAATTTTCAAGTCTAGGGTCATCTTTCAACACAAAGAAAATAATGAGATATATATTGAAATAATCTCTGGATAAGCAAGACCTTTCACTTTTATGTTAGAAAAAGCAGCAGCATTTAATTAAATAATATGTTATTAAAATTTAAAAATGTAAATGAAGCACATTTTAAATATATTCATTGGTTATGCTTCTTTGGTCAAAACCTAATTCCTTTTTGTAGAAAAATAAATGTTAGAAGATGTAATGAATTGAGTAGAATTATATATATTTGACCAGGGCATTTATTACATATAAAAAATACTGAGTATTTTATCATATAGTGTTATAAAAATTATTTTAGAGAAAAGCAACACAATGTATTAAAACTATACTTCATTTGTTCTTTTTTTAATGGAAAACTGGTAAATTGCTGTTCACATTAATTTTAATTTTTATAACATAAGTGTCTACAGTAGCTGCTGCAGGTTTCTTTTATTAGCAATTCATAAATACAAAGAGATAAGATATTAGTTTAATTTACCTTAATAACCAAATCAAATTTCTGGTGAAAGTCTCTGTTTACTGGTTCCAGGAGACTAAGTTCTGCAGTCCTAGGATGCATATGGAAAAATCGTGGGTAATCCTCAGGAGTCCCTGAAAAACATTGAGATTTCAGCACATAATTGAGAACAATGAGTAATATGTGTGTCTGCTTTATTAATTTCCATTCATTAACTAAGGAACAAAATTACAATTTCATTAGTAAATTAAGTTTCAAAATTATGCAGTCAAGGGAAAGAAGACACACATGTAGTACATAATTAATTTGCTTTTTTATGAGTAAGAATAAAAAATAGTTGTTTGGATGATTTTCCAAATATTTTTTATTAAGAGAGTTCTTTAATTAATTTGAAACTTCATCACATGAAAAGAGATATTAGGTACAGGGAGAGTAAATTTTAGATTATAAAATTATATTTTAATGACACATGAATCATAATTATATCCTGCATGATTTTTCAACATATCTTATAATAAATAATGATTTGTAATTTGTACCAAATGCCAATTTGCTTGCAAATTAATAAGAACATATGCTGTTCCATCAAGGTAAATATTTTTCTTAAGATAAGTATCTAGATAATTATGTCAACCACAGTAAATTAAAATATAGGTTTTGATTATCCTCAATGTTTAGGGAGGCTATTTCTTAAATGCAGTCATTTCAATAAATTGTACATTTCTTCTTAAATAAATTTCTGTCAATTGTATCATCTTGCTTTGTGTACTGCAATATCCTTTTTCCCAAAGTGAAGAAAGAGTAGAAGTCAAATCATAGAGCTGTGTAGTATACACATTTGGACAAACAATAAGAGTAAAATAATATAACTTCCAGTTTTTGAAGCTCAGTATGTGAAAAAACTTTATATAAGTAACCATCAATAACCCCACAAATCATTTCCATTCTATAGCTAAGGATTTGGGAGGTTTGAGAGATTAAATAACTTATCCAAGTCAAAAAAAAAAAAAAAATCTGGGACACAGTTTGCATTCAAATCCAGGCTGCCAGAAGTAAAACATACCCCAAAATGGGCTTATTGGTACTACTCCTTTGCTTCAACTCTGAGACAAGAAGGGAAATTCTCCTGGGCATTATGTTGCAGGGGGCAGAAAAAATAAAAAAAAAAACAGAAAAATAAATTTACATAATTAAAATGGACTAAAAATCCAGAAATGGTCAGAATTATAGATGAAATTTAATATATGATAAAGGGGTTATCACTCCTAACATGAATCATGCAGAAAATGGTGGAATTGTATCCATTCTTCATGCAATGTACTACAGCAAACACCAAATGGAGAAGGTATCCATGTATAATAAATGATAAAACAATATAAACACTATTCATAGATAAAAACACGGATAAATTTTACTCCATCATGAGAGTGGGCAAACTGATCCTAACTATGGCTCAAAATGGAGAAGCAGTAAGGGAAAAGATAAATAAATGTGACTATATTACAAAATTGCATGGCAAGATACAATAAACAAAGTAAAACCACAGTGACAAACCAAAAAATATTTGCAATTTATATCAGAGAAAAAGTGTTCATATCTCTTATATAAGGAAAGAGATTTATAAATTACCTAGGTCTAAAAGACCAGTGATGCATTATATTAATAAAAGGTTGGGTCTAGCTGCTAAAGAATGAACAGGTAGTTCACAGAAAAGGAAAGGCAAATAACTCTCAATCATAAAAAAAGATGCTCACCTCTCTATATAAGAATAAAAATACAAATTAAAACTACACTAAGATTCCATTTGTCACTTGCTAGATTAACAATTGTCTCAGTTGGACACCATACTGTATCGTGAGCCTGCAAAAACATAGGCACTTTTGGAAGTAGGTGGTGTTAATAAAAAGGGTGCTATGAAACTTATGAAGGAGAATTTGGCATAATCTATCAAAATCATAGTAATGTTTATTTTTTGACCCAGAAATTCCACTTCAAGGACATTTTTGCATTATAATAATAAAAGATAAATAATCACTTAAATATTCTTCAATAGTGGTCTGGCTGAATAAATAGTGACACATCCTAAAGTGGATAATTCAAATGTAAAAAAATGATAGACATCTTTACTTTTTACTATAGAGTTATTTTCAGATATATTAGGTGAAATAAAGTGATATGGAAAAAAGGATCTACAAAAGAATAACTTTTAAAAAAAGTGCATACAAGTATTTAAAAAGGAATGCATATGCATATTAAAATATAAAAAATAAGCCATAACATTAAAAATTGATTACATATGAGAGAGAGAGAATATAAGTGGGAGTCATAGGTATTAAAATTAGGCTTCATTAACTATATTACTCCTTTTTATTTTGAAGCCACATAAATGTTATATATTATTATAAAACAAATTAAATTTAAGGACTTCTCAAAATATAAAACAAAACAAAATCAATCTAAATAGGTAGTCAGTTCAAATATAAGCACAAACAGAAAAGAATTACCCCAGATGACTGTGACTTTAAAATATAATGCCATGACATCACCCCCTCAGTGTAATGTAGTTTATAAGAACAATAGAATTTTTTTTAAAAATTAAATTGCCTACAGCAGCAGTCCCCACAACTTTTCCACATACAGGATTGGGGATTAAGGGGAAGTAGGGGGCAGAGCTCAGAGGGTGGTGAGAGGATTGGAGCAGCTGTAAATACAGATGAAGCTTAAAAGCCTTCACTGACTCACCCACCGCTCACCTCCTGCTATGCAGCACAGTTCCTAAGTTTCGAAAAAGACAATTTTTCCACAGGGAGAGGAGGGGGCAGAGCTCAAGGAGTGATACACAGCCTGGTTCCTAACAGGCCACAGCCCTAGGGGTTGGGAGCCAATGGTCTACAGAAATCATATTATTGGTGGCGATATTGATGTTGTTATTCTAAGATGGTTGTTATTGGTGGCAATATTGATGTTGTTATTCTAAGATGGTTGTGGGAGTATTTTATAATAAAATAAATGAGTACATAATTGTGTGGCATTTTAATTCTATTATTCTCATTATTATAAACTGGATTCTTGGGAAGAGACAAAGGAAATCAAAATGTAAGATTAAAGAGGCTAGATAAAAACACCTATAGTTTTAATCTCGAATTGACAATGTAAGTTTAAACTCAGGTTGTAGTGTATCATAAGAAACAAAACACATACAGCATAGTTCTGAATAAAGAACAAAAAAGAGTAAAAATAATGGCCAGCTCAGAAGCAATGAACATCCCTAGTGTTAAGATTCTGATTTTGCAATACCATTTACCACTAAAAGGATATAAGGTTTCTGAAACGGAAAGCTGATTCCAGATCCAGAGCAGAAAATCAACAAGATAACTGTGTGAAACACCTTGGCACACCAAATAGCAAGAAAGATATCCAAGACTACTAAGCTGGTGTCATAAGTACTCAAGAACCAACAAGAAACAGGTTTTCTCTGGCTAAAAACAGTTTGAGCATAATAAAGATATCTATAATGATTTGAAACAGATTAAATATATTTAAATCTGTAAGTTCATAATAACCTTGAAAAAAAGAACACCTTTTTGATCACTTCTGGTGGATGCTTCGGAAACACTTTGAAAACTGGAAAATAAGAAAACATGATGCGTATTCTGCTTTTTTCCATGTGATATATAAAACTCAGTAAACAAACAATTGATGAATTAAGTTTATCTTTATGGAATTATTCTAACTAATAATATAAAAAGATAAAATTAGAGTGCCACCATTTTATAACTCCTCATAAATTAATGGATCACAAGTTTGAGCACCAACTGCTGCTAACAGCACAAAAAAGAGATTATCCATGCCTCCCAGTAAAAGACTTAATTCTCCATCATCTGTTAAGAACTGGGGGTTGTGTCCATAAATTCATATGTTGGAGCCTTCACTCCCAATGTGACTGTATACAAAGACAGAGCCTTTTAAGGAGGCAATCAATTTTAAATTATATAATATGGAGAGGCTCTTAATCTGATAGGAAATTGTGTTCTTATTATTAATAGAATAGGAAGAGACACCAGAGTGTGTTTTTTCTCTGTCTGTCTGTCTGCCTGTCTCTTTCTCTCTTTTCCTTCTCCCTTCTCTCTGTCTCCCTCTCCCTCTCTCTATCTCTCTTTCTTCCTTTCATTCTCTTCTTCACACAAAGGCTACATGAGGACACAGCAAGAAAACATCAATCTATGAGCCAGAAAGAGAGGCCTCACCAGAAACCAACCATGACAGCACCTTGATCTTGAACTTCTAACCTCCATAACTATGAGAAAAAAAAAAAAAAAATTCTGTTGCTTAAGCTACCCAGACTATGGTGTTTTTTGATGGCATTCCATATAGAGTAATATATCATATATTAAATAGTTTTGAGAAAACAAACAAAAATCTTTATTTGATTAAGCTTCAAAATTTACAGGAAATGCAAGGGACAGAGGAACATGTAAAATTACACCAAAGGTAGCACAAACCAGACTTTGGGAGACTGCATAAGAGAGACAACTTGACGGGTTTTTTTTGGATTTTTTTTTTGAGACAGAGTCTCACTTTGTCGCTCAGGCTAGAGCGAGTGTCCTGGCATTAGCCTAGCTCACAGCAACCTCAAACTCCTAGGCTCAAGCAATCCTGCTGCCTCAGCCTCCCGAGTAGCGAGTAACGAGTAACTGGGACTACAGGCATGCGCCACCATGCCCGGCTAATTTTTTCTATATATATTAGTTGGCCAATTAATTTCTTTCTATTTATAGTAGAGATGGGGTCTCACTCTTGCTCAGGCTGGTTTTGAACTCCTGACCTCAAGCAATCCACCCGCCTTCGGCCTCCCAGAGTGCTAGGATTACAGGCGTGAGCCACCGCGCCCGGCCTTGACTTTTTAAAATAAATAAATCTCAAGGAAGAAGATAAAAAATACAATAACAATGAAAAGAGAACCAGTGTAGATTAAAAGTGACTTAAGAAAATATAGATCATGATTTATAAACATTATACGAATACTAGTTCCCCTGTCCTCTTACCCTAAAAAAATAAAAATAAAAATCTGTAAAAACGAAAATAACATTTGTGAGAAAATGATGATAAACACTAATCACTAATGGGTGTTTAA